GGGAAGTGTGTGGTCTCTTTAAGAAATCTACAGATGGGTTTTACTTTCTTCTCTACCATAAAACAGCCCAAGTCCCTCTTCTGTGGAGGACCACTGAGCTTTTCATTCCTTTTCTATTCCAGTTTCTAGGTCAAGGCAGGCTGTGGTTTCTGGCCACAGGAGAAGATGCAGTTCATTTTCTCAAGGCACCGGTTTCCAGGGAAACCAGTGTGAATCAGGCCAGAGCAGCCCCCCATCACCCTGTCTTACAGCACAGAATCCCAGGACAGATCCAGGAGGTGGCTGCAGTGCCTGGTTGCGGGTCAGGACCTATCACCATTGGTCAGTCCCAACCTCGGTGTCTGCAGGTCTGCTGTCTGCGGCAGGACGGTTCCTGCCCTGTGTCCATTTCTGCACACTGAGAGGTCACCGGGATATTTAAATCAAGAGGTTTTTTTTTTTTCTTTCTGTCTTTAACAGAACCCCAGTCTTTCCTTACAGAACTTTTTTTATTTTTATAAGCAGAAAGCTGCTTTGAGAGCAGTCTTAGTTTTGCATTAAGAGATGAGCAGGAAGCGCAGAGTTCCCTCCTGCACACAGAACACACGCAGCACTTCCAAAGCACACACTGGCACTGTTCCATACTAGAACTCGATTCCAGCCAAGGCTGGCAGAGGGCAGAGATGTGGACTTCTGTGAGTGCTGGGCTGGGCCAGACCTGCTGTGGGGTTTGCAGAAAACAACCTCATCCTGTCAGCATGCACACAGCTCACTCTGAGGGGAGCTGAACACACCCAAGACAAGCAGGGAATGACTTCCTCACATTATGGAGTGCGTGTCTCAGGAATAGTGACCAGGCATTCAACATGATCCAAAAGGAAACAGAAGGTGCTTCCTACAGTCACATGAGTCCTGTAAGAGAGACCAAGCAGGAGAAGAAAGGAGAACACACTGGCTCTGCATTTATGTAACTTGAGTTATGTAATTTCCCCCTCCTGAGCTTTGTATCCCTTCCAAAGAGACGGAGACTCCTTTCATTTTAAAGACATTGCAATTGGATCAGTCACATATTTCAGCAAAATGTACTTCTTGTACCAAGACCAGAAATATCACCCATTTGCACCAGCTAGTATCTGGGAATTAGAGCCAGGAATCTCCCCCAAGCTCCCCCCTCTGTCACACTGCCAGGCCCTGGTGGCCCAGCTAACTCACATCCCCCCAGCGTCCATGGCCCCCAGAGCCCCTCCCCACCCTTCATCCCAGTCCTTCTTCAGGGGCCAAGGGCTGGCCACAGCGGGTGGTGAGGGAGGCACGTGATCCAAGTCACTCCATGCAGACAGTGACAATCAAGACTCGTGCTGGGCCTTTCTGGGGAGAACAGCTTCTCCACCAGCAGATGGACACTGGGAGCTGCTGGCCACCATATTCCTTCAGGATGGAAGAGCAACTGGGAGGAATCCAACCATGGACGATGGGACAGGCTATGAGGGATGGCTGGAGCCCACACCCCAGACCCCTGGTGCCCGTCCTCCGTGAACTCCACCTGTGTGAGGACTACAGCTCCTTCTCTGCTTGGGCTTCATTAGTATAATGCCCAACACCAAAGATGGACAATGTCCACTGAGAAGCTCCCAGCCCTCAAGGGACATCTCCCATGTGACACAGCTCCCCATTTCAGAGCCAGCAGAGAACCAACCAAACTCCAATCTCTGCCAGAGGCCAGGTTTGAAGAGCGTGGTGGATATTGTTGGCTGCCCACCAAGGGCCACTCACCAGCCTCCTGTGGTAGAAGCAGAACTGGCTTCCAACACAGACACCAATCATGCCAGTCACCTGCCTCCCAGAGAATACATCAGTCCATTCCTCTCCTCCAGGATCTGAGAGAAAAACTGCCAGAGAATTGTGTGAGAGAATCTCATCCATGGTTAAAATGGGAGACCTGAGGACAACTTTCCCTCTTGTTGATGGAGCTGGGTGAGTTTGTGATGTCTGGAGGCCTGCAACCATGTGGAGTTCGTGAGATAGACCGCCTAAGGAATGCAGGTGACTAGAGAGACAAAGAGCCTGGGTGATGGTTTGATGTTTCCCCTCCAAAATTAGGAGTTGCCAACGTGACACTATCAAGAGACGAAGCCTTCGAGAGGTGATAGGCCACCAGGGCACCTCCCTCATGTGTGGGATCAAGGATCCTCAGTGTACAACAAGCTTGCCACTCTGTCTTTGCCACATAGGGACCCATCGTCCCTCCCCTCCAGGGGATAGAGCAGAGCCTGCATGAGCCTTGATCTCTCTTAGATGTCCACTCCTCCAGATCTTCGAGAAAAGAACTCTCTCCTTTTTGAAACTATCTCATCCTGGGAGACTTGATTCTGCAGCAGGCAAGGTTTCCAGAGGTGGGGTGGGGAGACCAGGCTGCAGGCTCAGCCTTGACTGCAGCACATGCTGACCAGACAGGGACCCGCACAGAGCCACCAGGCCCCGGGCCACTTCTGCCATCTGAAATCAAACTTCATAGGAGGCAGCAGAACCCCTGGCCGCAGCCTGCTGTGGTCTCGAGGGTCCATGTCTCCTTCCGCCCTGCCTTCATTCATCCACAGCAGATGTCCGTGGGCATCTACTGGGCTTCCCCCTGTGAACTGAAAAGGCCACACTGTCCAGAGAAGAAGGGAAGATAGTGGAATGTATAAAAGCAAGGCAGCCAGCATCAGGCCCCAAGTACATGCACTGTGAGCTGAAGGCGGTTTTTCCATGAGGGCCATAGCTTGGCCCAAAGCTGAGCGGTTCCAGACAGATTCTCTGCTCAAGGTGAGGCAGGTATTCTGTGGACAGCTTTGGAACCCATGGCAATGACCTGCTGGGTGCTTTGATGACAAGTTTCTGTCCTTTCAGGGTTCGGAGCTTGCGAAAGAGTTCAACCCCAAACCCCGAGAACGAACTTCCAGGCAGAAAGGAGAGGATTGGGCCCTGGGATTTAAGCTCCCCTGGCTTCCAAGTCCTAAGACAGTTTCTGACTTAGTGGGCAGCAGGTACCAGGTGTCACACCTGCAGAGTGACCACACCTAAGCACAAAGTACCAAAACCCCACAGCAGCCCTACCTAGCTTTGCACACCAAAAATCCCACACTTGCCTCTTAAATCACTTCAATTTTTCCCATTTCAAGGC